ATATATATATATATATAATCAATATATATATATTGAGTTTTTCTATATTTATATATTTGTTTATATAGAATAATAGAATAAAAATTACTAAAATAATTGCAAAGGAGAAAAAAACTCACTCTAAGAATGTTAAGTCTATCCGTTTTTGTAGTCATCAATGTGAGATTATTATCTACTCTATCCAATGCTTCAAAAAGTTTATGATTCTTTTCATCTCTTGTGCGCTGTTCTTCTAAAAATTCTATATATCTTAAACGTAATCGATTTATACACGCATCATGCCTGAAATATCAATAATTTTGTATAAAAGATTTTTCTTTTTTAAAAAAAAATTTTTTCTAAAGAAAACTATTAATTTAAATAATCAATAATTGTAAGATCATTAAAACAAGTTTATATTTTATTAGAATCAATCTATCATAATTTATTAAATGTCTACTATGTAAATATACACTTCATAATATATATGTATATATGATCGAAAATTGCGTGATCTTAGCAAAAAATTATGTATAATATATGTATGTATAATATATTTGTCTACATAATTATACTTGTTCATATATCTACATTAATTATATCAAAATAAAGATTAAAATATCAAATATTTCTTATATATTTTTATGCAATTGAAATTTTTCTATCTCAGGTTAAAGTATATTTCAAAATATAAACACAAAGAACACGAAATTCATGTTCGAAGTCAATTATAAAACAAAGTTAGTATTGATTGTGACAACTTTCTTAAAACTAGGTCACTTCTTAATCAATACATAATATCCAAAATTCTATCGTTATTATTATTACATAAAACAGAAATATAATCGATAACGAGACAATTATTTGCCAATATATGTAATATTATTTTTAAAAATATTTTTTTTCTGTTTATATATTAAAGTAAATTAATGATTATTTTAATAGTTTATAAAAATAATAAATTTAATAATAACACATTTAAGTAAATAATTTTTAAATTTTACCTATTACGAGATTCCTGTACAAGTATTTTGAATCTTTCTTCTAATCTTATTCTTTCTTCTTCACTGTAACAATTATTCGGGAACATATATAATAATTTATTTATTTATATTTTATAATTCTATATTTACTAATAAATTTTAATGTACTGTTACTATATTGTTTATATAAAAAAATATACTTACCTTTTTCGCAACTTTTCTTGTAGTTCCAACATTTTTTTATAATAATCATAATTATCGCAAAACGATGTCATAATTAATAACAATTTATAATTCAACTTGAAATTAATTCAAAAATTTAAGTTATCGACTGTATCGACATTCGATATTTGGCGCTTATTACGAAAAATTTTAATAAAATTGACAATAATAAACAATATTTACATATAACATATTTCGCGTAACTAATAAACATTTTATATAACCATATATAATGTAACAAATATATATTAAATTTATAAATAGTGAATATTTACTTTGATACTTTGTAAAACCATTTCAATTATTGATTAAATAATTGAAACAAGTGATCAATAAATTCATTAAATATTTTACTTATTACGATGTAATATAAATTTATTTTATTTTGAATAACCATAACAAGAATTATTGTAACGATCTTTCTTTGGTTCGGTATTACGAACGACTGTCGTATTTGACGTGCAATGGGTAGAGTTGAGGGTGTTACAGCAAGTAAACACGCAGGTGTTGTCCCTACTCCTATTCTAACTCACGCAATATTTATTTAAAATTTTATTTGTTTTAATTTGATAATATAAAAATAATATATTAAAAATAAAAGATTTTGTTTAAAATAATATTTATATTAATCTAAATTTTAATTCATTTTTATTAAAGTAATTATTATTAAATATTACAATCAATTTTGCAAAAAAAGAAAGAAAAAAAAAATTTATTAAAATAATGAAAAAAAATCTGTTTATACATTTACTATTTGTTATCAATTATTTTTAAAAATAAAATGTTCATTTTTAAAAAGTCAAATGTTAAATGTAAATTTATTTATATTTTTTATATAGAATAAATAGAATAAATATTTTTATCATAAAATTATATAAATTATTTTTTTCTGGAAATAAATAGATTATTACAAAATAAATAAATAATGAATCGAATAAATTAAATTTAAATCCTTATTATAATATATTTTATTGATATTTTTCTGATTTTTTTTATAAAAATTAAATTTCATTAAAAATTTATTGGAACTATATAATAAATATAATAATATAATAAAAACATTTTAAATATTATTTTTTTACATTTTATTACATTTTATTAAGCATCATCACATTTTCTAATATAAACTGCACACACATGTTCATGTAATTCTGGTGTTTTTTCTGTAGCCATATATAATGTATGTTGTAGACAATCTCCAATAAGTTTAAATTCTCTTTGAATCTATATTTAAATAATTTTTTTAAAATTATATATTGTCATTTTTTTATTAATTTATTTTTTGTAAATAATTATAGTTACATATTTATACCTCGGTTACTTTATGTAAATTTGTCCCTTTTGTTGGTCGTCCTATATTAGTTGATCTCAATTTAATAATTTTATTTTCAAATATTCCTTCCTCTATCGTTGTTGCACCAAAATTATGAGATAAAAGTAGATGTACTTTATTTGTATCAGGTATTATTTTTAAAAAACCCATTTCATAATGTAATGGTTTTTTTGTTTCAACATCCCAACTTTTTGCAGCATAATTTAACATTGGTTGACCAATAGAAGACCAATTAATTTCTTCATGATATTTAAAAGGTGTAATTGTTGGAAATTTACCAGTTCCAGGACAATTCTCTCTAGTTCTCCATATACCTTTCAACCAAGCTAATGGTTTGATTGCTTCATGCATTGTTAATTGTTGCATATCTAATGAAAAAAATATTTTATATAAATATTTTTATGTAGACATATAAATATTTTACAAGAAAGAAATAACTATTATTTAAATATTGTGACATAATACTAACCTTTATCATAGAAATATCTTTTTTTATATTTTAGAATTTAAAAAGTTCTTATAACATTTATTTCTTTAATGATTTGAAATTTTTCTTTTTTTATAATCTTTATAAATATATTATAATAGTATATGTTTATAATAATATATTATACTAGATATTACTATTTATCAATATTAGAAGATATTAGAACCAATGAACCAGAAAGTATTTTTTCATATTCAATTATTATTTATTTAATTCAATATTTGAATATAATTACAATATTCAAAAAATTTTATTTTGTTCTCAATTTAAATTTTGTGAATTATATTATAACATCGATTTTCATATTATATTATGTAGTAAAATAACCTTTAAATTAACTAATAGTCATGTATAAGTATATATATATATACATCAAAATTTAAGTAGGCATACAAACGTGGTGAAAATACGTTAAATATTAATAAATTTTTAAACAAATGCAAAAATTTAAAAAAGGATCCGTAATTTCAAAATAGTAATATGGCGACAACAATTTACAAATTCGAGTAAATTATATCGCATATATCTGCTTATAGTTAGTATTTTTTCTAATAATTATATAATAAATTATTTATTTTTTTAATTTACGTAACATATTAATCATAAATCATTTATTTATTTTTTTTTAAATTTGAGTTATCTTAAGATATATATCTCCGATATTTATATAATGATCAATGATTAATATTTAAAGAATTATTATTCATATAAAATAATTTTTTTATCATATTTTTAAATATAATATTATTATTATTTTCTTTTTCTATTATGATTAATTTTTCACACAATTTTAATTAAATTTAAATATATCATTTATTGTTTTATCATTTTAATATCATAATGATCTTATTATATATACATTATGTATATATAAACACACTTATATGTATATATATTTTAGAAGAATTATGGCTGTTTCAATCAATGAAATTTGTGAAAATACCAAACTAGCTCGTGAAATGGCTTTAACTGGAAACTATGATACATCTGGAGTTTATTATCAAGGCGTTGTTCAACAAATTCATCGGTTACTTGCGAATATTGCAGATGCTACCCGAAAAGCTAAATGGCAACTTGTACAACATCAAATTGTTCAAGAATTTGAAAAAGTAAAAGCAACTTCAAATACTTTACAACTTTTTAAAGTTGATACACATGGAGAAAGGTTATTAGGTACTATTATTTATGAAAAATATTTGATAAGAATATGTACATAATATAATAAATATATAAATATTATAAATAAAAATATAAATATAATAAAATAAATTTTTAGGTACTTCATGCTTATCATTTGAAGAACCTACAAGAGATCCAACTTTATGGACTTATAATAATTCAGATAATTCATGGAATCAAACACCTGCAAGGGATCCAGATGTATGGCCACCTTTAACACCTGCTGAACAAAAGTAATTTTTTTAAATTAGTAATAAAATTAAAATTATCACTTGTATTACATTATATTAATGTTATTAAATTATATTTATAGAAATATTAAACCATTAAAAAATCAATCAAAACAACAAAATAGAACAAGTATACGAAAATCTGTAACTACTGGAAAAAAATCAGATACTAAAGCAATGATTAAAAAAGATGATAGAAAAGTACAAAAAAAAGATGATGTAAACAAAGTATATTTCATTTTTATTATAGAGTATATAAAAAATGATATATATAAACTATATTTAATTTTTATTATATTTTTACATATAGTATAATATTATAAAAAATAAATAATTTTTATAGGAAAAATTGGAAACTGAAAAAATAGATATAGAAGTAGAGGAACGTAAATTTGAACCATCTGGAAATGATAGAGATTTGGTTGATTTATTAGGTATACTATATATTAGTAATATATTTTATTATATATATTAGTAACTTTAAAATAAATAAATTATTATATATTTATATAAATATTACAGAAAGAGATATTGTTCAAAAAAATCCAAATATTCATTGGGATGATATAGCTGATTTACATGAAGCAAAACGATTATTAGAAGAAGCTGTTGTTCTTCCAATGTGGATGCCAGATTTCTTTAAAGTATATTTAATAATTTTACATATATTATGTTTCATATAATAAAATGTCATTTTTTCAGGGAATTCGTCGCCCTTGGAAAGGAGTACTTATGGTTGGTCCACCAGGAACTGGAAAAACAATGTTAGCAAAAGCTGTAGCTACTGAATGTGGAACAACTTTTTTTAATGTATCATCTTCTACACTTACTTCAAAATATAGGGGAGAATCAGAAAAACTTGTTCGTCTCCTTTTTGAAATGGTATTTATATGCTTTTTATTTTTTTTCAAGAAATAAATTTAAAATTATTTTTTACTAATTTTTAATGATTATGAATATTTATGCAGGCTAGATTTTATGCTCCTAGTACTATTTTCATTGATGAAATTGATTCTTTATGCTCTAGAAGAGGATCTGAATCTGAACATGAAGCTTCACGACGAGTAAAATCTGAACTTTTAGTTCAAATGGATGGTATAAGTTCCAATAGGTAAAATAATTATATAAAATTAACTGTAATTTATATAAATATTCTATAAAATAAAAAATAATATATAGTATATATACTATACTTTATAGAAGTCTATAAAATAAATAAAATAAATTTTTTTTAGTGAAGATCCAAGTAAAGTGGTAATGGTATTAGCAGCTACAAATTTTCCATGGGATATTGATGAAGCTCTTCGAAGACGATTGGAAAAACGTATTTATATTCCGCTACCAAATCGTAAGTTTTATTAAAATTTAATAGAAGTAATTTCTGTTATATACACTTCAATTTCCTAAAAAAGAAATTTTGGAGTACACAGGTGAAGGTAGAGAAGCATTATTGAAAATTAATCTACGTGAAGTAAAGGTAGATTTATCTGTAAATTTAGCAGATATTGCGAAAAAATTAGAAGGATATTCTGGTGCAGATATTACAAATGTTTGCAGGTAAACAAATATTAAAAATATATTTATACAATTTTATATATATAATATACAAGTATATTTTATACATATTTAAATATAGAGATGCATCTATGATGTCTATGCGGAAAAAAATTGCGGGCTTAAAACCTGATCAAATCAGACAATTACCAAAAGAAGAATTAGATTTACCTGTATCTGCTGCAGATTTTGATGAAGCTGTTGAAAGGTGTAACAAGAGTGTTTCTCAAGAAGATTTAGAAAAATATGAAAAATGGATGAGTGAATTTGGTTCTTCTTGATATCATTCTACTCAAAAAATATAAATTCACAAAGAGCTTATTCAAAAATATAATTGCTTATTTAGATAGATATTGTTAAAATTTTTTGTTTGTCATTATTGACAAACAAAATATAATAAGCATTTTTAAAAATATATTTATCAATATAATAATTATCGAATTTTTAAAATGATATTTTTCTTCTTATATTATTATTATAAAGAGCTTATATTTTTCTTACTTTTTAAGTTTAAAGAGTAATACAAATTCATATTGTTTTAAAAAACTAAAATTTCTATTAAAATTACATAATATATTATATATAAACAAAAATTGCATAAATTAAATGACATTATAAAAATATTATATATATGAAACAAAGTAATTCAACTTCATGTTATTATTAATTTACATCATGTTATTATTAATTTAACTATAAAATTAAATTGAAGAATAATATTTTTGAATATTTTTATGATTCATAGATTTTAATTTATTAAGTTAATCGTTATTTGAAGTTTATTAAGTTAATCGTTATTTGAAGTTTATTTTTATTTAAATAATGCTCTTTTATAATTAATTTAAATATTTTGAATGAAGACATTGTAAAAAATAAATTTTAAAATTTTCAATATATATTTAATTTTAAACTTACTTAAAGAAATACAAGATATTCGAAATTAATTTTGTACTACATTACATTAATTTTAGGTTAAAATGTAAATTGTTGTTTTTAATAGTGTAAGTTATATTTTAATAAAAACTGCAATTTTTTGTTAAAAATTAAATATTTTTGTAAAAATATAATATACAATTATATATAATATTATAAACAAATTTAATTCATACTAAAAATAATAACATATTATTAATAACTATTTTTACTAAATTTTTTAGGAGCACAACCTTCTTTTCTTAATTTTTTAGTTTCTTCATCAATATTTTTTGAATCTTTTGGTGCTTTATAATTTGATACATGGTCAACTCTTATTGTTCTGCCTAAAATCTAAAATTATATAATTATTATTATTATTACATATTATTATTACAATTGTTTTAAATATTTCATCTTTCATTATTATTAAAGAATTTAATACAAAAAT